GAGCTGGGTATTTACCCAAGTGTGTTCAGTTTGTGACAATTTAGTGAGTTATCACAACTTTATGTATATTGCTATTCAATTCAAAGTTTTAAAAACAAATTTTAGAATATATTTGCATGGGTCAGCAGATAAACTAAATATTGTGTAGCTTTTACAGTAACTTATTTTTAAGTTGGAATATTAAGTTGGAATTATTACTGCTTGGAAGACAGGTCTGTAATCCCAGCACTTTGGAAAGCTGAGGCAGGCAGATTACATAAGCTCAGGAGTGCATGACCAGCCTGCTCTACCAAAAATATGAAAAATTAGCCGGGCACGGTGGCGCATGCCTGTGGTCCCAGCTACATGCCTGTAGCTTTTGATTTACATTTGAGACATTATTTCAGTCCTGGGCATTATTTCTTGTCTTGCAAAGACCTGCAAGGGAAATCTAATGTGCATGGAATTAAAACAAATTGGAATTGTTTTCTTCAACAGTTCACACAGCTTTTAGTTAAAAAATAATCACTCTTATTATTATTTTTGTCAGTCGCCAAGCTGCGGAGTGCAGTGGCATGATCTCAGCTCACTTCAACCTCTGCCTCTGGGGTTCAAGTGATTCTCCTGCCTCAGTCTCCCGAGTAGCTGGGATTACAGGCATGTGCCATCACGCCCAGCTAATTTTTGTATTTTTAGTAGAGACAGGGTTTCACCATGTTGGCCAGGATGGTCTTGATCTCTTGACCTCATGATCCACCCACCTTGGCTTCCCAAAGTGCTGGAATTACAGACGTGAGCCACCACAACTGGCCTATTATTTTTTCTTGAGATGGTATCTCACTCTGTTGCCCAGGCTGGAGTACAGTGGCGCAATTTCAGCACTGCAACCTCTGCCTCCTGTGCTCATGATCCTCCCACCTTAGCCTACTGAGGAGCTGAGGCTATAGGCATGTGCCACCACACCCAGCGAATGTTTGTATTTTTGTAGAGGTAGGGTCTCACTACATTGCCCAGGCTGGTCTTGAACTCCTGGGCTCAAGCAATTTACCTGTCTTGGCCTCCCTCAAAGTGCTGGGATTACAGGCATGAGCCACCGCACCTGGCCTCATTTTCTTAGAGTTTGTTCGAAACATGCCAATGATGATGAATTAAGAGAATGACAGAAAATTCCAGTGACATCTTAGATTGCCGCATTATGAAAATGTAATTTGGTTTATGCACCTGTAAGTCACAGAAAACTAAATTACCATACAAACACTAGCATGGTTGGTGGGATGTGGCAGCTGATCACTAAAAGACTCTCTAGGCCTCAGTTTCTCAATCTGGTTAACAATCAGCCTGGCCAACATGGTGAAACCCTGCCTCTACCAAAAAATGCAAAAATTAGCTGGGTGGCTGTAGTCCCAGCTACTCAGGAGGCTGAGGTGGGAGAATCACTCGAAAGTGGGAGGCGGAGGTTGCAGTGAGCTGAGATTGCACTACTGCACTCCAGCCTGAGCAACAGAGCAAGAGTCTGTCTCAAAAACAAATAAATAAAAAGAGTTAAGCAAACACAATCCACACTCACCTGGAGGGCTGATGTTTACTCAGAATTAAACACTCTAATAGGCCAGGTGCGGTGGCTCACGCCTGTAATCCCAGCCCTTTGGAAGGCCAAGGCAGGCGGATCACAAGGTCAAGAGATCAGGACCATCCTGGCCAGTATGGTGAAACCCCATCTCTACTAAAAATACAAAAACATTAGTTAGGCGTGGTGGCTCGTGCCTGTAATCCCAGCTACTGGGGAGGCTGAGGCAGGAGAATCACTTGAACCTGGGAGGCAGAGGTTGCAGTGAGCCAAGATCACACCAATGCACTCCAGCCTGGCAACAGAGCAAGACTCAGTCTCAAAAAAAACCAAAAAGCAAACTCTATGAAATAGGAGGGCACCAGAAGCCTAGCAAAGGACAGGTGCTTCATACATTAAATGGATAAATGCTTATTCATTCAACAAATACCCATGCCTACTATGTGCCAGTAACTGCTCTAAGTGCTTGGAATAAAAAACAAAAACAAAACAAAGCTCATTGCCTAGTGGGGCTCACATTCTAGTTGGGGTGGGAAGAGAGAGGAAGAAACATAAGAAATAAATACATGGAGGCCAGTCGTGGTGGCTCATGCCTGTAATTCCAGCACTTTGGGAGGTTGAGGTGGGCGAATCACCAGGTCAGGAGTTTGAGACCAGTCTAGCCAACATGATGAAACCCTATCTCTACTAAAAATATTTAAAAAAAATTAGTTGGGCATAGTGGCAGGCGCCTATAATCCCAGCTACTCGGGAGGCTGAGCAGGAGAATCGCTTGAACCTGGGAGGCAGAGGTTGCAGTGAGCTGAGGTCACGCCACTGCACTCCAGCCGGGCAACAGGCTGAGATGCCATCTCAAAAAAAGAAAGGGAAAAAAAAAAAAAAAAGAAATACATCACACAGCCTAAGGTAGTGTTATGGAGGAAGGTAACATAGCCTAAGGTGGGGCTGGGAGATGGAAGGGGGTGTCTGCAATCTGAAAGAGAGTCTGAGGATGCTTCCCGGAGGTGACACCGAAAGGCTTCTGTGACATTTCCCCTTTCACTCTGTTTAGCAAGATTTCTGTAGGTAGGACATCCCTGGATCCCACCACACCTGTCCTTCCTCCACTTCCTAAGTCTTTAACAGTTCTAGGAAAGCTGTGGCTACTCTTAATTGAGGTTTTTTTTTTTTTTTTTTTTTTTTTAACTTCTTCCTCCATCATGACAGCATAAACTCATCAGAAAACCATGCAAAATCACCAGCAAGCTTTTGAGGGCAAATTATGGGCATGCTAGAGACTAAAGCGTGTGTGTGGGGAGGGATTTTTGGCTGAACTCTAATTAGTAAGAGCAACATTACTTGACATTTTGGGGCTTATAACGTCATTTGTTTATGAAGGAGTAAAATATACACATTCTCCTGGGAGTTGGCATGGATCGCCAGTCACTATTTGCCTAAGTATACATTTTAGACATCTGAGCAAATGTGTAAATAGCATACATTTAAGGAAATTTGATACTGTCTACAGAGAGTCACACTACTTTATAATCCCTCCTCTTCTCTAAAGAATTTATTCCTTTACTTCAAAATTGGGGAAACCTGAGTTTTTTTTTTTTTTTTATCTAAAATCCATACTAGCAAGTCATAAAAAAAACCTTGCAAGTGGTTTTGTAAACACACCTGGTTGGGTTGCTTTTCTATTAGCAAAATATTGTAGATGGTTGGGTAACATAAAGGATGCCTCTTCTTAAAAGCACTAGGTTCATCAACACTGCCAGATTTTTGCCATATTAAGTTGAAATTATTTTCAGCTTGAACATCGAGGGGTGGGGGGCGGTGGGGCAGATGGGGGAAGAACCCAAAACAGAGGCAGTGAAAGGTTTTTCAAACTCCTAGATGTAAAATTTTACTTTGCATTTCCTTCATGGTCAAAACAAGGGCTAACAGACTTCACTATTTCATAGCTCACATAAACTTGTTGTCTGATGCACATAAATTCTTATCCTACCACCTGGACATCAAAAAATCACGATCCCAAAACACTAATAAGGGAATAGTAATTAAAATCAATCAACAAACATTTAGTGAGCTTTCCAGTATGCTTTCAGATACCTGGCAATGGAAAGCAAAAAGGTACTGGTCTTTGATCTCCATTTACATTGCTCTATGTTTACAAATACGTACAAACAAAATGACGAAATCCACACTGTTTTCCTGCCATTTCCATTCTTTGGGTTATACGACATGCCCAAGAGGTTGGCATTTGTGACGCTGCAATTGGCCTTGGTAAGGTCCCTCTGACTAAAAGTCTACGTCAGGCAGAAGTGGGAGTAAAGGTGTTTACTCTGAACACCTGACTGCTGATCTCAAGCTGCTACCGCAGCTCATACTGGGAAGATACACAACGCTCTGTTCTTGGAGGGAGGGCAGAAGGCAGTGGTGTTCTGCACCGCAGCAGATATCAGACTCTGACTCAAATCTGCAATAATCTGCGTTCCTCAATTACACGGTTTTCCCTTCACTGACAATCATCACAGCAGCTACTACTTAATTCCCAGGTCAGAGTCTAGCCGAAAGAATGTTTTATTTACACACTCCACACCTCATGCAGCACCGTCTTCCGGGTCATTTAAATAGTGGCAATCTCAATACAAACGTAGGACTTTAACATTCAAATTTCCCAAATTTCTAAAGATCGCCCTCTATGAAGGCAACACACCAATAGGAAAAGTTTTTGGTCACAGTGGCTGAGCACCAAAACGCTCTGTCAACTGTATCTACTTTCCTCCCTATCTGTGAGGCATAATTCATATGAGGTAGTATACACTTTGTGTGTTAAGATAAACTAAACAGATAATCTCTTGGATTTCAATACATAATGAAAATGTTCATGTTCTTCTCTTTCTTTCAACAAAAGTTGATAGACTCCTCTGATTTTAGGAATTCAGACCTTGAAAACCCAGAAACTAAATTTTAGAGTTTAAAAGTGTATCAAAATGACCAAACTTCCTGATTCAAGCACCAGGGACAGAAAAAAAGATAAAACACATCAACCAACCAACCATTTATAACCTTAAACATGCTATATGTGAACTTTAAAGTTTCAGGGGTTCGAGGCGCCTAGGCTGAATTAAAACAAAAGTTGTTTTGTGTTCTATTAATAGCAGATGATTAAACACATATCTTATTTCAACTGGAATTCATTTGTTAGTACTTAAACTAACTCAACTGGCCACTAATCCTAAGTGTATGTCTGTTTCTGGAAAAAGTCTTTCCTAACACATTCAAGTTAAGAGCCGGGCCATCGACGCATTCCTTAAGATTAGGTCAATTTCCTTAAGACCTAGGGTGTTCTTTGACTCCAAGAACCTCACCAAATAACCCAAATATAAAAGCCAAGTTCAATTAAAAATTGGGAGAAGAAGGGTCTAAGGGGGAGGGTGTTTCCCTGGAGAACGCCCTGAGCCCGGCTCACCTGGAGATCCTAATTACAGGGGAGTTTCTCCCCCACATTCTTGGCCGCTTTCTTTTCTCAAAGGAAACTCGAGCTTGTGTCTTTGGTCCCGGAGGGCTTAAGCCCGGCAGCCAGGCCAGCGCGGGTCGCTGATTCCAAGAAGTTGGGAGGGGGACGTGGGCCCCACCGACGCACCACAGACCCCTCCCCAACCTAAGTGCACTGGTTGTAAAATGTGTAGCTGATCAGGGGATGGGGGGCGGTCTCCAGCGCCCTGAGGGTCAGGGAAGGGAGGAGGGACAGGGAGGAGAAGGGACAGGGGAGGAGGGGGAGACACGCGGGAGGAGGAAGAACCTGGAGGAGGGGAAGGGAGAGGGAGGAGGGGGATGGGCAGGGAAGGACGGAGAGAGAAAGCGGAGAAGGGACAGGGGAGGAGGAGACACAAGGGGGAGAAGGAAGACCCAGAAGGAGGGGAGGAGCAGGGAAGTGGGACAGGGGAGGAGGGAGAGTGAATGGGGGAGCGGAAGGGCAGAAGGGGAGGTGCGGGGTGGGGAAGGAAAGGGACTGGGAAGAAGCACAAGGAGGAGAGGAGGGAAGAGCGGGGAAGGTGGGGAGTAGGAAATGGGGAGAAGGGGAGGGACAGGGAGAGAGAGGGCCAGGGGAGGAAGAAGAGGGGCTGTGAAGGGCCAGGGGAGGAGTGGGAGAGACGGGGCGAGGTGTAAGGACGGGACGGGGGGGGAGGGAAGGGGAGCTGGGGGGCAGGGGAAGTACCTTCCCGCGTAAAGTCCCCTTCTGACCCCCGAGGTAGAAAGCCCCCGGCTTACCCGGTAGGTGCTCTCCGTGAGCCGGTTCACCTCCTCGGGCCCCCGGGACATGGCTGCGGCAGCCGGGCGGACGATCGAGGGCTGGAGGGCGCGGCGGGGCCTCGTGGCCGCCGGACTCCGGGCAGCGGGAGCGCCGGGGCGCGACTAAGGGGCCCTGGAGTGTCGGCAACCGCCGTAGCCTTCGGCCAGAGAGTGCCGGCGCGCGCCTCCGCCGCCAAAATGTCAAAACTTGCGGCAGCGCCGCCTTGGCCGTCTGCGATGAGCAGAGAGAAGCGGCCGGACGCGGCCCAGGCGAGCGAGGCGGGCCGGGTGGCCCCACCTGAGGCGGGCGGGGCGGGCGGGGGCGGGGCCGAAGGGGCGGGGCGACCCCACCTGAGGCGGCATGGTGGGCGGGGCCGGGCCGAGATGGGCGGAGCGGCTCCCGTTGAGTCGGCCGGGGTGGGAGGAGAGGAGGCGGGACCGGGCAGCTGGAATGGGCGTGGTCGAAGGGGCCCGTGTGGGCGGGGTCACCCCACCTGTGGCGCACAGGGCGGGGAGGCCACGGCGCGCCCCCTAGCGGTCCTCCCAGAGCTCCGGCAACGCAGGACCCGAAACCCTGGAGTGGGACCCGGTGTGGAGTGGGCTGCTCGCTTTGCTGTTTTGCTAGGGTAGAGGGAGCCTGGGGGTGTTTAGACTGTCGTCCTAGAGCCCTTGTTTGCCTCGCCTGGTGCTGGCCCCGGAGACCCCGAGGCCCACGCCCTCCATAAGCGCTTCCTCTAAGCCCCGCCTTTTGGGGACCAAGGGAAGAGGGGCCACATTCCCCAGCTGTATTGATTTCTCTGATTGATCTCTCCCTGCCCCGCTGCCCAAAAGTTAGAGGAACACCTGTGGGGCATGGACTCTCCTAGGTGGAGAAAGGCTGCCACTTGCAGTTTTGAAAGCTCCTGATATATCAAAAAGTTAATAAATGCCGAGATATAGTTACCGAAACGGTGGTACTTTTTTGTTGTTTCTCTTCAGACGGAGTCTGCCGCCCGGGCTGGAGTGCAGTGGCGCGATCTCAGCTCACTGCGACCTTCGACTCCCGGCTTCAAGCGATTCTCCTGCCTCAGTCTCCCGAGTAGCTGGGATTACAGGCGCCCACCACCACACCGGGCTATTTTTTTTTTTTTTAATGTATTTTTAGAAGAGACAGGGTTTCACCATATTGGCCAGGCTGAACTCCTAACCTCAGGTGATCCGCCTGCTTCAGCCTCTCAAAGTGCTGGGATTACAGGCGTGAGCCACGGCGCCAGGCCCAGCGGTACATCTTTAAACTTTACATTAACCACGACCTTTAACTCAATGCAATATAACTGCGCTACTCACAAGATTGTTGCAGGGTTTACAAAACCACCTGAGCTGAGGTGTTAGGGAAGCCTCGCTTCTTGTCATCACTCAAACTCTGTGCAGGTGTGTGGCTCCTGGGTTTCCTGTTCTGTCTCCACCCCAGCCCCAGCCCTGCCAAAGGGTGAGACAGCTGCCTTCTCTGGGCCTCTTCCAGCAGTATGTACCTTGGGCTGGGTGACAGCCTTCTCCCCAGTAAGAACCACGGCTTAGCACCTGAGACTTGCACCCAACAAGGGCAGGAAGTCTTATTCTGATTTTTTAAACCTTCTGGGATTGGTGGCTCACTCCTGTAATCCTAGCACTTTGGGCTGAGGCAGGCAGATAACTTGAGGTCTGGAGTTAGAGACTAGCTTGGCCAACATGGTGAAACTTCGTCTCTACTAAAAATACAAAAATTAACCAGGCGTGGTGGCGCATGACCTGTAATCCCAGCTACTCAGGAGGCTGAGGCAGAAGAATTGCTTAAACCTGGAAGGCGGAGGTTGCAGTGAGCCAAGATAGCACTATTGCAATCCAACCTGAGGGACAAGAGTAAAACTGTCTCAAAAACAAACAAAACTTTTTTTTTTTTTTTTTTTTTTTTTTTTTTTTTTTGATACGGAGTCTTGCTTTGTTGCCAGGCTGGACTGCAATGGTGCAATCTCGGCTCACTGCAACCTCTGCCTCCAGGTTTCAAGGGATTCCTCTCCCTCAGCCTCCTGAGTAGCTGGGACTCCAGGCACGCACCACCACACCTGGCTAATTTTTTGTATTTTTAGTAGAGAGACTGGGTTTCACCATGTTGACCAGGATGGTCTCAATCTCTTGACCTTGCGATCTGCCCGCCTTGACCTCCCAAAGTGCTGGGATTACAGGCGTGAGCCACTGTACCCGGCCACAAAAAAACTTCTTTCTGGGGGGCCAGGCAGGGTGGTTCATGCCTGTAATCCCAGCACTTTGGAAGACGGAGGCAGGTGGATTGGTTGAGTCCAGGAGTTCGAGATCAGCCTGGGAAATATAGGGAAATAAAGACATTATCCATGTGTGGTGGTGTGCATCTGTAGTCCCAGCTATTCTGGAGGCTGAGGTAGGAGTATGGCTTGAGCCCAGGAGGTGGAGTTTGCAGTGAGCTGTAATCATGCCACTGCATTCCAGCCTGGGCTGCAGAGTGAGACTCTCTTTCAAAAAGCAAACAAAAACGCCAAAACTTCTCTGTAAGTGCAATTGCATCTGTTATAGGCTAAGATGTGAGATTTCTAAACTAATCTTGTGCTAAAGTTCACTAGGTAACAAACACAATGAAGGCACTGTGTGGCCCAGATGGGAACACCGAAAGGAAGAGATGCCACTGGACTTAGAACAGAAACTGTCACTTGGACTTGGGGATGGTTTTATAGGTTTTTGCAAGCTATAAAACATATCATGTGGCTAAGTGGTGGCTCATTCCTGTAATCCCAGCACTTTGGGAGGCCAAGGTGGGTGAATTACCTGAGGTCGGGAGTTTGAGAGCAGCTTGACCAATATGGTGAAATCCTATCTCTACTAAAAATGCAAAAATTAGCCAGGCAAGGTGGTGGGCACCTGTAGTCGCAGCTACTTGGGAAGCTGAGACAGGACAAGCACTTGAATCCAGGAGGCAGAGGTTGCAGTGAGCCAAGATTGTGCCACTGCATTCCAGCCTGGGCAAGACTCCGTCTCAAAACAAAAAAACACATATTATGCTTGGGAACCAAAAGGTTATGTGACCCTGATGTTAGAGGGCAAATAACACATCACTCCCAAGTTTCTGGCAATGGAAGCAGATGCCTCCTTCCTGAACAGATTTACAGTATTTAGTTTATGAGATTTGCCAACTGGGTTTCACTTCCCATACAGAAGACACATTCATGACTTTATAATTACTACCATTATGTATTCGGCTCTGCAAGTATGTCTGTTGGTTTTTTATTGAAACTTGAAAATCGCTACCTTAATTTTGCAGATCACCTTTTGTTTTAGAACTTCCCTCTGTGCCTTCTGATGAATGAGAACGTTTCACCCTCTGCTGCCAGGCGTCATTTGAGGAGCGGAAAGAGTAGGGGCTTGACCTTTAACACCCCGCAGCTCGGTGGTGTGGTTGGTGGTGTGGTTAAGAGCTGGAAAAGACAGAGATTAACAAACCACCATAAAACCCACAAGTGGGCAGGCATGGTGGCTCACGCTTGTAATCCCAGCACTTTGGGAGGCCGAGGTGGGCGGATTACCTGAGGTCAGGAGTTTGAGACCAGTCTGGCCAACAAGGTGAAATCCTGTCTCTACTAAAAATACAAAAATTAGCTGGGTGTCAGGGCGTGTGCCTGTAATCCCAGCTACCCGGGAGTCTGAGGCAGGTGAATCACTGGAACTTGGAAGGCAGAGGCTGCAGTGAGCCGAGACTGTGCAATTGTACTCCAGCCTGGGCAACAGAGCAAAACTCCATCTCAAAAAAAAAAAAAAAAAAAAAAAAAAAAAGCTCATGCCTGTAGTCCTAGCACTTTGGGAGGCCAAACTGGGCAGATCACTTGAGGTCAGGAGTTCATGACCAGCCCGGCCAAAAAATACAAAAAATAGCCAGGCATGATGGTAGGTGCCTATAATCCCAGCTACTCAGGAGGCTGAGGCAGGAGAATCGCTTGGGCCCGGGAGGCAGAGGTTGCAGTGAGCCAAGATTGTGCCATTGCAGTCGAGTGAGACTCTGTCTCAAAAAAAAAAAAAAAAAAAAAAAAACCCACAAGTATCTCAGATGGCCCAATTTGATTACTGAGGTTGGAATTTGATCAAAGGACCAGGTTCATATTATATGCAAATCTACAAACAGATATGCAGTCATAGTTAATGCTCCTTCATGGAAATAATTTTCTGGTTATGACCAACCTGCTCCTTTAGAAGTCTTTGAGAGTGGTCAGCTCTTGGTCTGTAGCAACATTAAAGTATAGTGCAGGCTGGGCGTGGTGGCTCACAGCACTTTGGGAAGACGAGGTAGGTGGATCACATAGGTCAGGAGTTCAAATTCCAACATCGCGAAACCCCGTCTCTACTAAAAATACAAAAATTAGCTATGTGGGTAACCCCCCATATAGGCACCGAGGAATGAGAGCTAAGCAGAACCCTGGCACAGTTAGGGCTTGAGGAATATCTCACTTTATAGTGTTACTACTCAGCTATT